GCGCTGAGCGATTTTTTAGAAGAAGTTTTGGGCGGTCAAATAGTGTGATTGGGCCTCTAATGCATGATGTGCTCAAAAGTTACCTTCAGAGGCAGTGTATGGCATAGGTTGAGCGTACTCACTATACCAAATGTACACTTACGTAGAACATAAGTAGATGTAATTAAACAGCTCATTCTGTAAGGTGTGAAGAAGTTGAACCACCGTTGCAGGTCCCTCTGTGGTGGATGCGTGGCTTTCAGTGGATGTTTTATTGCCCTTTCTATAGAGGTTACAGAACAAGAACCATGGATGGTGTTTGATGTCGAAGTCAAATTGCAAGCGAAGTCTATCCAATTGAATTAATCGGTACCTATTTGTAGTTTTGCAAATAAAGTGCAAAGATTCAACGCAGTGCTAACATCTGCAAAACGAAAGGGCTAAATTGCAACTAAACGAGAAAACGTCTAGAGAACAGCCTCCATCTGCGAAATCGGCTGACACTCAGGAATCCTCTCTCTAGTCAAAACCATTCAGTGCCAGTCAGCACGTGTGATCGACATGAAGTATGACGAGCTTTAAATAATTTTCGCTTAACCTTTGTTGTCCTCATTTTTTTTTGCTTCTTAATGACAACGCTCGCAATATTTTTTTCCAAAAATTTTCCTTCTTATTGTTCTCATCCCGAAGATGGAAATATTGTTGAAGATTTTTGGGAAATGCAAGACTCAAGTGTTTTCTTTATCTGCTTGGAAAAAACCCCAAGATCTCTTTGCTTTGAGCCCTTCTAAAAATTGCATGATGTGTCCTTCCCTAGGCTTATCAGTTAAGGATCCATTGTAAGCAACCTACAGAAAATGACAGCGCATCGTAGAAAACTCACGGAAGTGAACAAATAAATGTATCTTAATAAGTAAGAAGCGGACATCTTCAAACATGACTGATAGGACCCATGCAAAAGTTTCTTAGCAATCTTCTGCCATTAACCATTTGAAGTTTGGATTGTTGTATGCAGATTTGTGGGCATTTTCCGTCATACAAATGGGCCACCCTGTACCTACCTTAGGTCTACCCTGTAGATCTAATCTTTGACGAGTTGCACTGCAGAACTTGCGGGTTTCGGGCAAAATGCTCTGTTCTGAGTGGATTTGGCGTTGAATCAACCTCCTTCGCAAGATAATAATATAGTGATAGATATTCAAAGATATAGAGGGTGTCCCAAAAGTAAGTACACACTTTTTAACCGTCAATATCTCTCTTCCCAACTAAGTCTTTTCTTACCATTCAATAGAAGAGACTTCAACTTAGATTCGCGTTATGGAGCGAATCCTTCAGCGCTCTTCACTACTGTAGGAATAAGGTAGGAACTTCAAAAATGGTTTTTAGCCTTAAGTGTGACCACATATTGTCCCAGAATAGATACACAACAAGCCGAAAACTCTATCATTAGGCTAAAGTGAGCCGCTGATTAGTAATTTGAAATTCGCACTTTATCGAAAAGCTTTTCATAAGTTATGCGACGTAATCGCAACAACGTTTCTCCAGTGTTTTTCAAAACTGAGGTAAAAATTATTCCAAACGCTTGAAAATCTCGTAAAAACTTGTTTGGAAATCAGGCTGTTTGAAAACACTGTTACACAACTTCCCAGAATTTCTGGAACTTTTTTTTCTCACACGGCTTTTTTGATAATGGCAATGTATCTTGGAAGTTCCTACCTTAGTCCTACAGTAATGAAGATTGCTGGATGATTTGCTCTATAACGTAAATCTAAGTTGAAGCATCCTCTACTGGACGGTGCTTGAAGCTAGGGAAAAGAC